TTATCCCATTCCCTCTGGTTTTTGATATTTGGATCCAAAGCGTTCTTATCATTCAACGATGTCTGATCTTCTTGCTTCGACGGTAAGTCGGGAAATTCTGGGAAATTAGAAATATAAAGAGCGACCGTAGGCCAAATTACATACCTCGTGCAATTGATAAAGTCATTGTTTGCCTGAAGACAAGATAGAACCTGTGCGATAAAAGCTGCCCGTGCCGGAGGCGGTACAATATCTTCCGCTAATTTTATTATGTTGATTTGCTTCTCGGTAATGGACGCCAGAATTATCGTATTTCCACTGACGGTCAGATGCGAATTTTCCGGTATCGTTTTCAGAGAATTACGTACTCTTGTTAAAATCTCCGTGACTTTGTTTTCTAATTCGCTAGATTCTTTGGAAGAAATTTCTTTTTGACGTAATAAGATTGTGGAAAGACGACCAGGCGATTCTTCTGGAGTAGAATCACCGGATTCCGGTGGTTTCTCGGTGCTCGTATTTCCTCCGCTACCTAATCCCGAAATAATTGAAGCAAAGTTGGGTATACTTGGTAGCTGAAATGACGGCAGAAAACCGAAGAAGCCGGGAAACGATAAAGTCGATATCCGACCGGAAAGATCCGGTAGAGAAGGATATAACTGCTTGATCGTCGGCCACGTCAAATATTTAATACATGTGATATAATTTAACTCCTGAATACATTTCACGGTTTTCTGAACGAATTCTGGTCGATATGGAACAGGAAGAAGCTGTTCGGCCATTTGAATCGATAATAATTGTTCTGTAGGAAGTATAGCGACGTAAGAATCAGCGTTATGAATAACAGAAGGAGGCGGTGTCTTCGCGTGTTCCTTCAATGTCTTCTGAAGAATATTGATAATTACCGCTTCTGGTTTCCGCATTCTCGTGGCGTCGGCATCAACGACTTCCGGAAGCTCGCCTGAGGTTTCCACGAAATTTGGAAACGGAACAATGGGATATTGCGGGTACAACGGTATGGACGGATACCAGCTCTGATAGTCCGGGAAAGCCGGTAAGGCCGGGTGATATTGCTTTACCATCGGCCAAGCAAAGTATTTGACACAGCTAAAATACTCGAATCTGCGCACGCACGAGAACATCCGATCGGAGTACTCGCAGCGTATTTCACCAGGTAGAAGTTTCTCGGCCATCTGAAGAATCTGAAGTTGACCAATAGTAAGGAGTCTCCTCAGAGTTTCGTTGTTCGGATCGATAAAAGTCGGCGCCAGATCGTAAGTAGCTTTCGACTCCAGGGCACCGTTCAGAATGCTGAAGACGACGGACTCCGGCGTTAGCAGCCTCGGACGATGAACGCTGCTCTCCGATCTCACAAATTTTGTTCTGTTACCCTGAAACAAGTCGATCAAGTTTATTTCGATCGGTAAATTGTTCAGAGATTGGCTAACTGATTCCGGAAGATAGTCGAGTATGATGGGCCAGACAAAGATGCGCATACAATTTAAAACACTGAGACCGCGAATGCACTCTGCTATGTTCGCTACAAAGGATTGTCGCTGCTTCGTCTCTATCAATTGCTCGGCACATTTTATTATTTCTAATTGATTTTTGCTCAGTTCAGTCGCGTTCAAGCTGGCAAGATATGTCTCGTTTGACGGCGATGTCTGTGACAGCTGGATATTCTTCAAGGTTTCCAGCAATTGGTTTTCCGTGAATTTTGGAATGTCAGAAAGCACCTCGGTCGTTTGTTCTTTTAAATATTGAAGAAACGTCCCATTCTTCATTTGTATCTGAAACAGCGTTGCTTGAGCCTTCCATTTTTGAAGGCGGTTAGAGACTTCCCTTGTTGGAGATAATTGATCAAGATTTTCGTTTTGAAGTGATTTATCTTTCAATTCACTGCTGCGTTGATTGCGAATCTCTTCATCTTTTTCGGCGGCAGCGACATCAATCTCAATTGATTTCTCCGAAAGAAGACCTTCTTGATCAACCTTTTCCGATTGTTTCGCGTCATTATCAACCGATCCGAGAGCATCGTCTCGTATGGAAATCAATTTCTTTATCTGACCGTTCACGATCGATTCTTGCTCTCGACCGGGTAAACTGCCTTCTTCAGCGTTCAAGTAGACAGTTGAACTTTTATACTTGGATTTAGCTAGAACGCTAGCTAAGTGTCTATTCTCTCTGTTCGGATCAAGCTCTTTGACACTGGTATTTTCATTGTTTGGAGCCTCATCGGCGACACGCTCCTCTTGGTTTCTTTCACTTTCGTTCGCGTGAACAAGTTTTAAGCTTCGCAGATCATTACGTATTTCCTCGTTCACGTTGTCAACGTTCTCAGTTTGTGCTTCATCTGGATTATGTTTCACTAAATTTTCGATTTGTCTCGTCTCTTCTTTATTTAAATCTACTTTCTCTATCTGTTCCAAATTCGCGACGTTCTCCAAGTTCTCTCGAAGATCAGAAGAAATCCCTGCATACTTTTTTTCTTCCTGCCGCGTCCCATCTTCGTTGCTAGGCTTCGCGTCCACATTCTTCACGTTCGCGGGCGATTGCTCGACGTTGATTAATTGCTTCTCACGCTCGATGGCGTCTCTTTGCGAACCGGGGTTGATGCCTTCGATGATGTCAAAAATCTTTCGTTGGCTTGGTTCCTCAATATCGTCGGACTCGATCTGGGCGTCGAATCGTCGAATACCCTCGTCCTTTTGCACGATCTTCTCCTTATCCTGCAACACAAACTTACCAGGAAGGCTCACGTCGTTCCTCCGCCGCTTCTTCGCCACGCTGCCTTCATCACTAGCAGCTTCGACCTGGATCTTGTCAGGATTTTCGTTGAGTATCTCTACCGTCGGCTTTTTCCTTTCTTCGACACTAACGTCCTCGTCGCTATCGTATCCTTCTGTTTCTATCAAGCTCTTTCTTCGCGCTTGATCCGCGTTCTCCACGTCGTCAGACTTGGGGTCACTCACCTTCACAAGAGGCTCCGAAATTTCGCCGTGCACTTCATCCGCGATGACGTCGCCGTCATCGTAAAGTACACTCCGCGCTCGTACGTCGTGAGGGACGCAAAGCAGAAGAAGAAGACAGAGAGTCGTACAAGGCACGAGTCGATGAATGCTCGTGGTTGACCGTGAGCGTCGAGAGTTGAGTGCTCTCATGGTCGCGGTCGAGAGGCGAATGTCTCGGCCACTTCTGAGCCGGTCCATGGTCAGCCATGCCACACGCATGGTGATACACATACCATCTCTTAAAGCACGGCACTGAGACCACCGGTTACTTCACGGACGAAGAAGCAAACCTGTGGATGAGTAACAACCTGGCATTTCCATTTTTGCGATGCCCCTCTACATGTCTCTTCGGGGTTGCGGGGTAACAAGCTTCGCGCAGCGGACGAGTTTGCTGTCGCTGACCGGTTGTGTTTCCTGCACGGAAATGGCAATGGAATGCATCGATCGCTCGATTTATCCGAACACACAATTTTCGTAGCGCCAATAAATCATGTAAGCATTATCATACTTAGGATATAAATTATCTATCCTATAGCAAATCTGAGAAAATTTATTTATCCCAGACTGTTCGAATTAAGTAGATTTAAATAAATGCGAAAGTACTTAACGCAATAGAAAACGAAAGAGTGATATTTAAGAGAGTGAGAAATGCGCGCCGTATATATAGCTAACTATCTGGCATGCGTATTTTTGTAATGTGACTTGTATATACGCGCCAACAAACATACAGATTTAATGTTTAGAATAAAAATCCAAGTCAAATATTTTGCTGATATTTGAACACACACACACGAATCCTGCATTTTGTTTTATGATAATTAAAATAAAAAATGGTATTAATTATAAATTATTATTTATTATTAATAGAAAAAATTAAAAAACAAAAATTATTCTTGTTGTAGATGTATATAGTAATATATTTTTAATATTGCCTATATTGATAAGTAAAAAATCTTAAATATTTTTCAAAACGAGACGAGAGCTATGATTCGCATGTAAAAGAAAACAAATTAATTGACGATATGGGAATATCTAACGAACATAGTCTTTAAATAAATAAGTGGAAATTGAAGAAGACAGGATGAATCAAAGTAGATTTGAATGATATCGCATAAATAGACCAGGTTTCAGGTTTGTATTTAATGTAGTTTTATTCACCAGTTTTCCCTGCTCGCCGGTGTAAAGGGTTGTATTTTTAGTCCTTGAAGGAATCGAGACTGGAAGGAATGGCCAGGAAGAAGGGGCATCCTAGTGGAGGTAGCTGGAGAGCGGAGAGCAATGCATTTTTACCGGGAATTTTATTTTCCAAGATGGTTGGCGCGATGCTCCCTACTTTTTCCCTCTCTCCGCTCCTTCCAAGTACTGGATTCACTGTGCAAAGACGATGCAATAAACCTGTATTGCATTTCTTGCTTTACCGTCTGCTTGCTTACGGTGCGTCCACAACGTTCAAGACGATTTTATTATTTCGACCACGATTGTCATGCATAATTAGTTTTATTTTTATTAACAATATTCTGTCATGAAATCTTTGGACTTCTGTCTTCAATTTCTAAAATTCATATTTTTTTGTGTTGCAAAGAAAAGACATGCATGTATTGTACTTTCTTTAATAATAATTTTGACTTTTTTGCACGTTTTTATTTCCAAATAAGATACGCTAAAATAACGCAACTAATTGAAAGTAAAAAATTTTTCTGTTGGCTTGGTAGTATTAAATGTATTGAGGCAATCCATGACGTCAATCATTGACCATGACCATGACCATTCTTTGAGCTACTTACTAACGTCAAACCGTTAATGAATTTTATTAAGCACAGTATTCCTCATATTATCACGGTATGAGGTCAGTGAGCAATTTCTAAATTGAAAGTCATTTCCGTGATTATTCGATAAGGTAAGCCATTATTTCTGCAGCTATTTACAATAACATTACAAATGTGGACGCATGTTAATATTGCACGTTTAGGAATTTACCTTGCAATATTTGAGAGAAGAAAAATACTTAAATAAAATAAAAAAATATATCTATTGTTCACGATAATGGATCCTAAAGTTGTAAAATATTTCTAGAATAACGTGTGTGAAAAAAATCACAAAAGTGTGACAAATTCTATCGGAAAATTGTGAAGCGATGTGTTACTAGAAACATACTCTTGACATTCCTATTAAATATACTCTCGACATGCAATCATTCCTTTTCTAGGTGATGGTCGCACGTAATCGGTCATTGCACGATAATCGTGACACTAATGTAAAAAATGAAAGAGGACAGATCATCCCTAAAATTTCTTTTCTTTTATCAAAATATAATATAATATTGCTTATTGTTAGATAAAAATAATATACTGGAATTAATGAATTCTAAGTATATTTTACATCAACAATTAATTATCGCAGAATTTTGAACATTTCTCAATAATTGCAGATCAGCGGGCGTTATTGTAAAATGTAATTTTATTATAAAAAAAATAAACGATGTTAAGAGAACACCTTCTGAGACTACAATGCAGGTCGATTTTTTCACGTTCTCCAAAGCGCTTCTAAAATCGGTACCGAAGAAGCCGAAAGAGGTGCGCAGAAAGTCAATGCGCAGAGAGCGGGCGATTCTCTTTCGAGTTCAAACAGCTTGGTGATCGTAGGAGGGATTCACACAGTTGGCCGTACGGGTCCGAATAACACGTATTTCGTATAGTCCGGCACGAGAGGTTCAAGAGGAGACAGAGCGAAAAAGATCGGTCAAAAGAAAAAAGACTGTCAGTGTCGATGAGTCCGGATGGTGGTAAACCGGTCTGAGAATGAAGGTGATTGGCCGGATTCTGGCGTGCGTGCTATTGGCAGCTATAATCGCGAAAAATGTAATTGCAACGAGTGCCGCGAATATTAAATCTACAACGGGACGAAATAACAAAATCGTACAATTCAATACTACGAGACTAGAATTGGTTCCGGAACTATCGCCGCTGAATGCTGAAGATTTTCGAGGTATACTGAACAGCGTATTTAGAAACAAAAATGATCAAGGTGAGATATAATTTTATTTACATCCATTATAATAAAAAAATATGTTATGTGCAAATTAGAAATACTTTTCTGCGATAAGAAAGATCATAAATATATGTAATCTTATCATTAGTTTTTTTACTAAAATAATTTATATACAAGATATATAATTATTTAGCACAGTATTAGCTTTTGGAATGTATTTTTGTATATTATGTATGTATGTAGATTGTATGTTACTGTAAATATTTAGTTGTTAGTTATTTTCATTGATATCGCACTAATATTATGTAAAATATATCATACAGCATTATTAATTTTATTAATATTTTTATTATATAGACATTGAGAGATTTGAAGAGGCTCGCACTTTTGGTAAAATCAGAAGATTGCAGTTCATGTTGATGCCGTTGATATATAAAATGGGAGTAATGATGACAATGTTGACGGTATTGACAGCGATCTCAGTCAAGGGACTTTTCGTTGGTAAGCATCGTTAATTTCGGACTCAGTAAAAAGTGTTAGGCACGGAAATGTATAACGGTATTCGTGATATATTGTGGATAGCGTAACCTGCATACATGATTAGGTGATATCACTGGCCCATTTACTCCTATGAGTTCAGTATTCGAATAAGCATTAAATTCGCTAATTTCCTTTGCCCATTCCGTTAGTTTGCATAATTAATGATAAATTAAGAATATATCTCTTTGCATTGTTCACTTCCTATTACTATCGATAAAATATTAGATTTTATTATCATGAATTACAAGATTACGTTATAGACCTGGGATTTTTAAAAAAATTTTGTTTTTCTATAAAAAATTTATTTTATATAATATTTAAATTTATTTTTATCAGATAATATTGTGATTTTCATGAAAAACTTTTTACTTTATTAAAGGAAATTTATAGCTTATTTTAATATATATATATTATATTTTTTTTACAGGCATTATACTGCTGATACTTAAACTCAGCACTTTTCTAGCGAAATTTTATTCCGGCTGGCAAGCATCATCGCAACCAATTCACCTACACATTCACAATAGTTCTCCATATGTTCACCCACAAATGTATCATAATTGGGTACCGTCGAGTGGTCCCGAGAATCACTATTATTGAAAGAGATAAATCATACGTAAAGATATTTTGTTTCCGATTATAAAAATTTTATTAACAAGCCATAACAAAAAGAAGATTTTAACGAAAATCAATAGTACTCGATAGTATCTGCATCATTTATATAATTTATTAGATAATTCTTTTTTCATTTATTAACTTTTATTTGGATATTTTTATTAATACCTGATGAATCTATGGATTAATATTTATCACAGCTGTATTCTTCGGTATCCAGATTATTTTTTGCGAACATTTATCTGTACACATTTCATCGGAGAAATAAGTATGTGGATACACATCAATTTAACAAATCTTAGACTTTGCTGCTATAATACAGCAAATGATTCTTTCGCGTATTTCATATGTAAATGTAAGCACTACTTTTATGGATATACCAAAGGAATCTCGTTACTTATTAATATAAGACCGCAGAGGCAAATAATTAATATATGGATTTCCTTTTCTAGAAGAAATACGAGTAACATTTTCATATAACGCAATAAGCATTTGATTTTTAATAATTTATTGATAATTTATAGTATAATATAAAACTTTTTACATACATACACATGTATTTAAAATGCGCCACATGATAAGTCTTCAAAATCCGTCAATATCCTACGCACATGGCATGGCAAATTAAAAAATATAATCATCAAACAGTGATTTGATATAGAAAGTATTAATTTAGTTTGTAGAAAATCGTGAAAAATATTTATAATTTAGAACCAAATTTTTCTATACATATACCAAAACAAAGAATATTTATATATTTAAGAATTAAAACCGCATACCTCACATGTTACCAGTAAAGATATATTTATTGGTCACTTTGTAATAATATGTTCTCGATCTATTGTAATATATATTTAATAAAAATTATATATATTTGCTGTGAAAAATAAAGAAAAAGATTTATCAATACTCTATACGCACGTGTTGCATACAATAATTATAATTATTATAATTATATATAAAAATATACTTTTTAAAAATATGTTTCCTTAAGATTAACTAAAGATTGACACAAGAAAATTCTATAATTCTTAAATACAATAGAAAAATTTAGGATAATTATACGGTAAGATTTTTAGTAAAATCTTACCCATAGATTATTAAGAGCGATATATTTACCGGCGAGCGGTTATTGTAGCGAATCACTAACTAAGTATATCCACATTTCTTCTGATGTAAATAGCGTTCTCTAGTAAACGGGACCCAGTTTTCCCGGCCTAGTGGGGTACCTGAAGAACAAAAAAGGTAAAATATCTCTGCTGCGCTTCGTAGCACAGTATGTATTACCACGCAGTCTGCGTAGTAAGCGAATACGAGAACAACGCGTTTTATTGTGCGAATTGGAGGAAAGATTATTAAAATATTTCGACAATTGTAAAAATCGTCAAGAAGTCGTTTGATATACTGCATATTAGCAAAATGTCTGTTTAATTAATATAAGCAAATCGTAAAACGATAATATCTCGTTTTGGTAATGTTATTATAAATTAATAATAGTATAATATAGATGTATGTTAATCGTGGAAGTGATGTGAGTGAGAATCGTGCATCGTATTTAAGATTTACAAGATAATATATTTCAATATAAAGTAAGTTGTAAAATTATTATAGAATTATAATTGTTGAATTATGTGTTTGTTCGTATAAATAATTATTAAGAAAAAAATATGGTATTGTTATTTTCTTTAAGAAACTTGTACGTGTTTATATTTTTTATGAATTTGATAAAAATTTAATTAGAAATAAATTATCTTTTTTGAAAACTGCATGATATCCGTTATTTCAGAGTCAGCATAAATCCCTTCTGAATTCGATAACATGGTTTGGACAAAATTGTTCATTTACAATATTATTATCTGGCTGGTAACATCGTCAAAACTATTAATTCAGGCCGAAGAGAAGCTAAATAATACACAAATGGGTTTTAATGAAACACAAAGTTTAAAAATTCTCCCGGGAATCAAATTCTGGTTGACGAATAATAAAATCATCGTTCACGTGAAAATTCAAGACTTACTACCAGGTATCTGCTTTAATTTTTCTCGCGTCAGAAAAGTACCTAGAACGCATTTCTCTCTTTTAGAAACGGAAGTGCAGAGTCGGAAAAAACAGGAAAATCCTTTAGGGAAAATCGGATACATGATGATGATGGCGCCGTTTGTTATGCAGGTTTCTCATTTACTATCTTTTAATATTTTCTGTTAGAAAAATGGTAAAATCTGTGATGATGTAATATAATCTAATACTTCTTTTTTTATATAATATTTAAATTTATTTTTATCAGATAATATTGTGATTTTCATGAAAAACTTTTTACTTTATTAAAGGAAATTTATAGCTTATTTTAATATATATATATTATATTTTTTTTACAGGCATTATACTGCTGATACTTAAACTCAGCACTTTTCTAGCGAAATTTTATTCCGGCTGGCAAGCATCATCGCAACCAATTCACCTACACATTCACAATAGTTCTCCATATGTTCACCCACAAATGTATCATAATTGGGTACCGTCGAGTGGTCCCGAGAATCACTATTATTGAAAGAGATAAATCATACGTAAAGATATTTTGTTTCCGATTATAAAAATTTTATTAACAAGCCATAACAAAAAGAAGATTTTAACGAAAATCAATAGTACTCGATAGTATCTGCATCATTTATATAATTTATTAGATAATTCTTTTTTCATTTATTAACTTTTATTTGGATATTTTTATTAATACCTGATGAATCTATGGATTAATATTTATCACAGCTGTATTCTTCGGTATCCAGATTATTTTTTGCGAACATTTATCTGTACACATTTCATCGGAGAAATAAGTATGTGGATACACATCAATTTAACAAATCTTAGACTTTGCTGCTATAATACAGCAAATGATTCTTTCGCGTATTTCATATGTAAATGTAAGCACTACTTTTATGGATATACCAAAGGAATCTCGTTACTTATTAATATAAGACCGCAGAGGCAAATAATTAATATATGGATTTCCTTTTCTAGAAGAAATACGAGTAACATTTTCATATAACGCAATAAGCATTTGATTTTTAATAATTTATTGATAATTTATAGTATAATATAAAACTTTTTACATACATACACATGTATTTAAAATGCGCCACATGATAAGTCTTCAAAATCCGTCAATATCCTACGCACATGGCATGGCAAATTAAAAAATATAATCATCAAACAGTGATTTGATATAGAAAGTATTAATTTAGTTTGTAGAAAATCGTGAAAAATATTTATAATTTAGAACCAAATTTTTCTATACATATACCAAAACAAAGAATATTTATATATTTAAGAATTAAAACCGCATACCTCACATGTTACCAGTAAAGATATATTTATTGGTCACATATTTTGTAATAATATGTTCTCGATCTATTGTAATATATATTTAATAAAAATTATATATATTTGCTGTGAAAAATAAAGAAAAAGATTTATCAATACTCTATACGCACGTGTTGCATACAATAATTATAATTATTATAATTATATATAAAAATATACTTTTTAAAAATATGTTTCCTTAAGATTAACTAAAGATTGACACAAGAAAATTCTATAATTCTTAAATACAATAGAAAAATTTAGGATAATTATACGGTAAGATTTTTAGTAAAATCTTACCCATAGATTATTAAGAGCGATATATTTACCGGCGAGCGGTTATTGTAGCGAATCACTAACTAAGTATATCCACATTTCTTCTGATGTAAATAGCGTTCTCTAGTAAACGGGACCCAGTTTTCCCGGCCTAGTGGGGTACCTGAAGAACAAAAAAGGTAAAATATCTCTGCTGCGCTTCGTAGCACAGTATGTATTACCACGCAGTCTGCGTAGTAAGCGAATACGAGAACAACGCGTTTTATTGTGCGAATTGGAGGAAAAATTATTAAAATATTCCGACAATTGTAAAAATCGTCAAGAAGTCGTTTGATATACTGCATATTAGCAAAATGTCTGTTTAATTAATATAAGCAAATCGTAAAACGATAATATCTCGTTTTGGTAATGTTATTATAAATTAATAATAGTATAATATAGATGTATGTTAATCGTGGAAGTGATGTGAGTGAGAATCGTGCATCGTATTTAAGATTTACAAGATAATATATTTCAATATAAAGTAAGTTGTAAAATTATTATAGAATTATAATTGTTGAATTATGTGTTTGTTCGTATAAATAATTATTAAGAAAAAAATATGGTATTGTTATTTTCTTTAAGAAACTTGTACGTGTTTATATTTTTTATGAATTTGATAAAAATTTAATTAGAAATAAATTATCTTTTTTGAAAACTGCATGATATCCGTTATTTCAGAGTCAGCATAAATCCCTTCTGAATTCGATAACATGGTTTGGACAAAATTGTTCATTTACAATATTATTATCTGGCTGGTAACATCGTCAAAACTATTAATTCAGGCCGAAGAGAAGCTAAATAATACACAAATGGGTTTTAATGAAACACAAAGTTTAAAAATTCTCCCGGGAATCAAATTCTGGTTGACGAATAATAAAATCATCGTTCACGTGAAAATTCAAGACTTACTACCAGGTATCTGCTTTAATTTTTCTCGCGTCAGAAAAGTACCTAGAACGCATTTCTCTCTTTTAGAAACGGAAGTGCAGAGTCGGAAAAAACAGGAAAATCCTTTAGGGAAAATCGGATACATGATGATGATGGCGCCGTTTGTTATGCAGGTTTCTCATTTACTATCTTTTAATATTTTCTGTTAGAAAAATGGTAAAATCTGTGATGATGTAATATAATCTAATACTTCTTTTTTCAGATACTTTCCTTACCAAGCACTATAGCGTCTGTCAAAATGTCACTTTTAAAGAGTATCATGGTGGCGCAATTAGCAATCGCAATAATGATCTACAATTTGATCAAAAGCACGCAAAATTCGGAGGTAGTTGTGGTCCATCAGAAGCATCATTATCAAGGACATAATTATCACGGTCACAATTATCCCAAAGACGATGAAGACGAATGGTTCGGTAGATGAAGTATATAATTAATGTGCAATAATAAGAACAGAGTGCATATTCTCATAACGTAAGACTAACCAATTATGGCTTTCGCCTTTCCAAAGTGACACACTCAAACGTACGAAGGACATCTGTGATATAGAGATTGTAACGAAGGGAAATTATAATTAATTAATTATTATATTATTTATATATACATATTTGTATAATATATATAAATTATATATATTTAATGATATATTGATACATATTCTATTATTTATTTGTCTCCAAAATATTATTTGAAAGAAATATAAAGTGATATCTCGCTGTTTGTATGTTCACCGTTTTACCTCATATTAAGCGGACTGCTGTACGGCAAGTAAGAACGATATCAAGGTGTCGGCTGACCTACTTCGAGCCTCACATAACGGCATTTTGGTCCAGATTCTTGCAGATGTGCACACGTATCCATTCAAGTTTTCCCATTTCTCTCTCTCTGTAAATTCGACATCGAAATCGAAATTAGAATTCCGCCGAACTTCCCATCGAACGTGTCGTTGAAAATCTTTCTCAAAGAGAAACTGGACCACATCAGCTACGCCAAAAGATAATAAATCTAATATATTTAGAGATTCATGAATTTGACATTGCACAAAGTATTTTTAAAATGTATAATTAATAATTAATTTGTGAGTTAAAGTAAAGATTTGCCTGTAGAATATAATTCAATCTCAAATTCGTAAATATTATCTTATAATATTTATTAAATATTATCGAACTAACTTTTTTATAGTGACTATACACTACAAAAATTTTATAGATACTGTACACAAAAATTCATGAAAATAAAAACTTGAACTTTACAAGGTAAATCTTAATTTTAACTCATAAATTAATTATTAATTTTATATTTTAAAAGGCTAAGAATGTGCTTTGCCCAATGTCAAAAAAATTCATGTATCTCTAAATATATTAGATTTATTAACTTTTGACGTAGCTGATGCGTCTAGTTCCTCCTTAAACGCAACGGCAAACAAAACTCCGACACGCTAATAAGAGGAATAAACACGTTAATTACAGCGTATATCGAAAGTTCCGTCAACGGCGAATTGAATCTTCGAAACTTTGATATTCGCGAGGCGTAAACGTGCCAGAAACCCACCTTCCGCGAACAGTATCGTTAGTATGCCGCGATGATTGTCGCTCCTAAATCGACACCTTACCATACAAATCAGATCGGTATGCCGTTTTCTAAAGTACAAAATGCACGATGCACGAGGCATACTTATGCAGCAACTCAGAATTAAGCGTTTGCTTATCACGAAATGCTCGGATCGGGTAAACAACGCGTTACAATACTACGTGACAGTATTTGTATCCTTCGATTCTCCATCAATTCGATATTCCACGAACGAATTTCTCTTTTTTTTTCAACTTGTTCCAGACTGTCACGGAAAAGTCGAACAATGGGCGAATATATTAGACTAAATATTTCGAGACATTTCACTCAATACAAATCTTGAATTTTATGATTAAAGTCCTCCCCTCTTTTTCTCTTAATATTCATCAAATGTAGATTCTTAAATTTTAATAAGAATAAAAATTTCTCCTCGTTCCTTCACATATATACACACATCGACTTATTATTAGATATGATATTTGACACTTTCTACATGTCTGACTATATTTCCAGTTTTAATTGCGATGTTGGAGCTTCATCTCAGAACTTGTAGCTCATCGTGATTAAAAAGATATAACGGTGCCACTTTCGATGATTGTACGATTTCTAATCTTAGCGTCACACATATATATATATATCCCGTGAAACATATATTCAGAAACAAATTTTTGAAACATAATTTCCAAATCGGCTATTGACATTGACGTATATCATCTGTGTAAATGGCCCTGACCTTCATTCTATAACACTGTTCCATTTACGTATAGGCGTTCAAAAACGAGAGAAAGATTCTCTCCAATAATAAAATCTCCCAAATTTTATCATCGAATTGTCCACACATACATATATCAGATTTTCTTCGACATTTGTTTCAATCAGAGCCACTTAACTGTAACGAGGTTTTATGCACAATGCACAGCGTTTAAAATTGCAAAATTCTGCTGACATTATACCCAGCAAGGTGTCCCATTGGTTGACCTATGCGCATTGAACGTGTATTAATTTATTCTAATCTTGCATCGTCTGCACAGCATTCCTACAAGAATGGTATTCTTTCTTTAACAAGATACGGCTATTGATCTGACAACGCTAAATGTAAGAAAATAAAACAAAAGGTCATCCAATAAGTACGAGCTTATCGCGATGTAATTATCTTTTCACACTATGGTTGTTAATAGCCACTATAAAAAAATTGTATTTAATCTTCACAGCATTTGCAATCAACAGCAATTTTAATTAATTCCATGCATTAAATTAATTATATATATATATATATATATTACGTCACATATATATATACAATAGTTAATAAAATTTAAATAAATGAATTTATATATTTGGAAATCTCTTTAATCTTGTTTTATCGATAAATATTAATATTATAATCAATTTATCATAATATTAAATCCTGCAACTTTAAAGTAAAAGTCTTGATATTAATGGAAGTAAATAAAAAAATCACGTTAAATAAAATAACGGAAAATGATGAAATGGTACACCTTCTATAAAGATACGATGCGTTACGCATAATGACTTGTACAAAGAATCTAGATAAATATTAACAGCTTTTCTTGCGTATTTGCGTCACTCATAACTCTCTATAAGATTAGAACATCGTCGATAGTTCAATACTGTGTTATAAACAGCAATATAAAGTTTTATAATCCGGAGCGAATTGCCAACTGCAATGACGATACATACGATTTGCGACGATTTACGACTATTAATGATCCTCATGTAATTATTCAGCCAGGTACGCGAATCATGTGAAAGCATCTGTCCGCCGAGAAAAACGTCAAAGGCCTCCTGATTTTTCCATCTTGTTGACTCCTCTTGTCGAGTCTCCTCTTCTCCCACAATGCGCGTCATCGAATCGTTTCATAGATAATCCACGGAGGAGACGAGAATGTTTTTCTCGTTTATTACATCACCATTGCACACTCGAAGGATTCGCACGTTCCATCATTCAGTCACGCGAATTCGAAGCAGCAGGGATCTCCGCGGGATGTCGTCCTTCGTGGTGAGCATCCAAGACTGGAGAAGGAAAATGCACGTTTTCACGCCTAAAGCAGACGCGATTTTCATTGCAGAAGAAACGGTGCACCCTTCTGTGCTTGCTGTGTTACCTGATCACGCAACATCGCGTTCTTGCGGATGATAACAATCCTTATCAATTCTCCTTCAACATCGTCGATTTTCAGCATAGATACGAAGAGAAAGGTATATCGATCAAAAAGAAGTGTTAGAAAACAAAATTCTTATTATTTCAAAACAAATTTATTAAGCAATTCTTATCAAATAATGCGGTTAAGTGTGACATTTCTGTTTATTTTCCATCGAGATGCCGAGGGGCTTATTAACGGAGAATATGGCTTTATTACGGCCGATGGCGTTTACCATGAAACTGGATATGCCACGGATAAAAATGGCGATTTTATTATCACCAAGCAGAGAAACCGGAAGATAACGAGTTGTGAGTTTTAAAACTGTAAATCGAAAGTTTTCATGTGCCTTTCAGTTCTAAATTTCTGAACATCTTTGTCTACTCTTAATAAGTGAAGGATGCACAAGAAATATTCAAGGATAGACCGGAAGCGGCGAAGAAATTGGTAGAAGCTGTGATAAAGGCTTGCGGCGGCTGTAAGATCCCAACGGATGATCATCCGAAATCTGCAAAAACAGTCACGGAATCGCCGCTGCAGAAAGAAATGGACCCGATATTGAAGCAGATGATGAAGACATTGTCAGAAAATGTAAAACATGGTAAGATAAAAAACGAGGCAAGATTCTATTAATATCGAATAAAAATAACAAGAAACTTACGCACTTTAATTCTGCATTTTCCAAAAACATTTCAGACGAGGAGAAACAGCCAGCGAAAGACATCGTTAAAAGCATGATGCAAGCTGCGAAGAAGTTATTGTCCGAAGAAGATAAACCGAATAAAGTCATAAGTGATCGAATGCTGGAAAATATGGCGAACGATTTGTACTATCGATTCAATTACACAATAACGACGCACGGCCATCACGAGGACGGCTATCGAAGCGGAAGAAAAGACGGTAGATATCAGTCACGAGACGAAAACGGTATCGACACGCAGGTGAAGTATCTGTCGAATGAATTCGGGCATCAGCCCAACATCACATTTATCACGCAGCCGAATACAACCGACGATAAGCACGCTTTCAAAGGATACTTGTTTCGTTGGTATTGGCCGTAAACTTTATTTCACATACATATAATGTGGATTTTATATTCTAACGAAGAGATTTATATTATAAAATGTACTAACATTTTTTTAATTAATATCGAGCTACGTCTAAAAATTCTTAAATTTTTAGATTTTAAGCGGAAGAAAAGACGGTAGATATCAGTCACGAGACGAAAACGGTATCGACACGCAGGTGAAGTATCTGTCGAATGAATTCGGGCATCAGCCCAACATCACATTTATCACGCAGCCGAATACAACCGACGATAAGCACGCTTTCAAAGGATACTTGTTTCGTTGGTATTGGCCGTAAACTTTATTTCACATACATATAATGTGGATTTTATATTCTAACGAAGAGATTTATATTATAAAATGTACTAACATTTTTTTAATTAATATCGAGCTACGTCTAAAAACTCTTAAATTTTTAGATTTTAAAGGTGACCGTCTTTAGAGAGAAAAATAATATATTACACAATTATAATAACTAACAATAAGATAAAAAAAAATATATGATTCATTATAATATACAAATTATATATATAAATTAATAATTAAAATAAATAATTATTTTCTAATTATTTTCTGGACATGGCTCTTTATAACGTTAACTTGCATCTGTGCAAAAATGTTTGACTCGAATTAAGTTTTGTTATAAATTGAAAATAAATGAAACTATAATGAAATATTTTATTGAATTCAAGCAGTTTTTCACCTTGTTTGAAACTTTCGATACGTCTTGTAAAATAAATTATACGTAGGTGGCCCTTTCTTTAGTTTCTAACAGGTATTCTAACAGTAACAAAAACGGTGTGAAATCATAAAAATGTAACCAGACCGGTAAAAAAGCGGTCGAGGTAAAATATATCCATACAATATTTAGCCATACAAAGTAATAATAAATATATCATTTATACGAAAGAGACGAATATCTGCTACTTGCATCGACCAGGTGTTTCGGAGATTATTACTAGAATGACTTGAAATTCATTTTTGCGTGGTTAGCAAATTTAGCTATAGCGATTTAACTGTCACGTAAATAACACGAGAAATAACGGTTATGATAGTAAAATTTACGCGCTGGCATTTCTATTCTATCGAGATTATTCCTTGGTTTACACGATTGGTCCCTTTTTCTCAAAGTGCGTATACAGAGATAGTACATTTCTGAAAAAAAGAAAAATTTTAAAGCAAACATATAATAAATTGACAGGATTTTTACATATTACACGAGTCATATATTTCGTTTTATTATGTGACAGGTTTTATATACAATATCACGTACGCACGATTTATCATAAGCCATGATCGCGCGTTACAACGACCATTACATCTCGTAATCGAGGATTAAGGCGACGCGAGCAAAATACGTAAAGGGCGAATATAATCGTGCAGTGAAAGGTAAGGCAAAAGTTCTCAAAAGATTGATACATAATTCACGAAACGGCCAGCTACATGTTCCGCGGTTCGTGTTCACGGTTAATTAACGGCACAAAAGCCATTGAGAAACGTTGTGACAGTCGAGCTGTCAAACGCGCGCGCGTGACTACAAAGTTCTGAATTTCTAAAAAGCGGTACAACCATTTTCATGATAATCGAATTAATGCTGAATGATATTTCAATCTTTCCAATAAAAGATCGAAATAAATTTAAAAAAAACAACACATCTCAAGTACATTTCGTATTCGAGATAATCGAATGTGATAAATCAAGCGAAATAAACTCCATGAAAATATAATAGAAGTATAATAAATATCCACAGAAACGTTCGAAGATATATCGAATACATGTAACCTGCGATTCTTTTTTCGAAAGTAACGATTTCACTGCGATTTGATATTTCTTCGTCCTTAAAACGACGATAAAAGTAGTAGGAATTGGGTTGTATTAGCATGCGCCGCCGTTCAAGTGGAATTTCTGTCTTCGGTCCACGTACAGTGTGTCGAGTACATTTGCCAAGTCACTCGTAGACTACTTTACAAATCGTTGTCACGATTAGAGTTGCAACCGATTATTTAATCTTTAAAAAATTTATTACTAAAATAAATTTAAAAAATGCATCATAAATTTTCTAAAATATCGATTTGTCGATACTCGATGGTTATTAAGAGAAATGTCATATACATTTATCTTGATCATTCTCATCTTTGCATTAAAAATCAACAAAATAAAACGAATTTTCAAAAATGCAAACTAAAAAAAGTACGAATATTGAAGAGAAATGTGGAACATCGCCAAATAATTATGTCGAGAAATATTGAGAATGAAAGTTGCCGTGACTGCGTTGCCGCTGCGTAAATCATTTGCAAAGCTGTGTCGTATTAGCGACTTTTATAGCGGCGATATTTGACTCCATCGAATTCCTTTCCATTCACAACGCGGGCCCACGATAAGGCCCAGAGTCCCTCCAGGATGACGACTTACATTTCGTCGTGACGTCCACAAAAGTCCACCACGGTGGAGGGGTTGCCCGCTAGACTCACGCGAAACCAAACCCACTATTGGCGGAAGTTGGGATGGAAGGGACACCAGTCTCATATATGTTCGACCACGCACGCTCCATAACCACTTCGAGACTGTAATACGCGGTGGCCGTAAACTTTATTTCACATACATATAATGTGGATTTTATATTCTAACGAAGAGATTTATATTATAAAATGTACTAACATTTTTTTAATTAATATCGAGCTACGTCTAAAAATTCTTAAATTTTTAGATTTTAAAGGTGACCGTCTTTAGAGAGAAAAATAATATATTACACAATTATAATAACTAACAATAAGATAAAAAAAAATATATGATGAGAGGGTGACAGTCAGTCATCAGGAATTTTCGTGGTGATAACGGTGCGCCTCGATCTTGGTGAAAATCGAACAAATTCGGTGGAAAAAAAAATCATGAGAATAATCGCGTCGATCATTTTGATCCTCGGACTTGCTCTGTATGTTCACTGCGAGACGACGGAAGAAGACAACCAAGAGGAAGATGACGTCGGCATTCTCAATTGTATGTTCGCAAGCAGCACCGGAAGTTGCCTCAGGTCGAGACTGGCTCGTGACCTGGACCAAATCGAGTTGGAAGTTACCGGAAAGAAGAGTGAACCGCCGATGAGCACGGTGGTCGCACAGGCTGGCAATATCATCGCGGAGATCGTTGATGATCTTCAGGAGACGACCGGCGCCGAAGGAATTATCGAAGAGGACGATGCTCAGGACGATAATGTGGGTAAGGATCAGAAATCGAGCAACAAAATTATTACATTAATGAGTAACGAAATAATTTTATTTTTATCGACATACTAATTCCGTTATTTTTCTTCCAATATATTAATTATGTAAGCGTTTAGTTTCAAACTTTCTTATTTTTCTCATCATTGCTTCAATAATATACTGCCATTAATACTTGATATAACACATGTATAATATTACTATCTATTATTTTAAAATTATATAATTTCTTGTAAAACTTTCGTATGTGAATATAAAGCATTAATCGATGATTCGTTAAATAATTAAGTTATTGTAAATCGAAATCGGCAATTTTATGATTCAAATTTCTAATTGATGAACGCGGAAACGCGGAACGCGTGTCATCCGTGTATTCATCTTCTTACATACTTTCAGAGAAGCACCGTTGAACAAAGCTGGCTTTTGTTTGTCTCGTAGTCGTCTTCTTTATTGAGATATAACACAGGAAGTTAGTTCATCTAGGAGCACTAAAAATTACTGTGCCAATTTTCATCTCTATTATGTATTTTTTTTCTAGTTTCCCCTAAATGCCATTGTAATCGACTTGCCATACGACTTTAAGTAAAACGAGAGAAAGCGGATGTGAGAATTGAAATAATTTTAGTGTAAGCTTCATCTATATGATAATTAGCTTTTTCTGCAATTTCCATTTACAGTAAAGAATTTACTACCACAATTAATAGAATATTAATTAACACACCGTATAAAAATCCTATACAAACTATAATACAGTAATAAATGCTGCTAATTAAAAGTATCGTAAATCAAGTAATAAATAATGTCGAGCGGGATAAAAATACCATGCTATGGCAAACGATTCCGATAAGAAGAGAAATGCTCGATAATCGTAAATGAGATTTATGAATATGAACGACGTTCAACTGCATACCATATTTTATATCGCGCAACAAAGCAAATCGCTTTGACAAGGGAAGTGAGTTTTGCAGATCCCGAGACGCAGGTATCGCGACAGTAAAGGTGAACGAACCACGTCTCGTGTGTTTTGCATAACGTTAACGTCGACTGGGCGCGATCGCGTGCGTAAACGCAAAAATTAGAGCTGACGCTCCAGGGAGACAAGGTGAACCACAAGTTAACGCGTGATCGGGCCCACAAAGTCCCCCCGTCTGGGTCAACAGTGAGATGTTTAAACGTTTTGCACGCGACTGTGTTCGCTCCCTGATTTTGTAACGCAGTTTACTCTAATTTAATACTATACGACACTTAGGCAAATCGACGGTAACGGTACCGATCGCATTCGCTCATCACTGTCTTAGCTATTTTTTCCAGCAAAAGTCAACAAACGCAAATTTTACGAGAGAGAAAAACGAATATCGGTATGTGGGAAATTTATATTTACCGAACAGACGCAATGTCACTATTGTATTAAGATGGCTCTTTCTCTCTTTCGATCTCTCTCTTTATCTTTCTAACTAGATATTAATTACTTGTCTATCAAAAAAATCTCGATTAGACAAATGGACGATAACGGTACCGCAAACATTATCTTCGTTATCTTTTGGAGCGTACAAAAAATTGTACGGTACTTCCGAGTAAATTGTTGACGACAAATTGAGTAATTTGACGGGGACATTACGCTAATTCGCTGCGATTCGTATCGGTTTAACATTTTGCCGACGAGCGAAAATGGAACGGAGTATTGACAATTATTGACAATTATAATATTTCGCGAATTATCCTTTGGCTGTTGCATATAAAAAAGAGGAAGATATTTTTAATAGCGCGAAAAAAATCGGCCACGAAAGCGATCTGCGAGACTCTTTTCAAGAGTACCGGTTGCGGACAATTGTGTGGCCCGAAAGTCAGACGAAATCTACTACAGGTTAATGTTTGTGGGTCAACAGGCATGGAGACACTACATCCTCGTACATATATTCTTGCCAAATTGCTTCTCTTGTCGAGACTTAATTAAGGGATTAAGGGGTCTTTTCCTAATTTGACGCTCTGAAAATAAAGGCGATTTTTGGGAATTTTTTTAAAGAAAAGTATAAAACATATTAATTCCAAATTTTCCACGCTTATTAAGTAACATGTCAAGTATATCCTGAAATTTTTTCAAATAAAAGTATTTGTTTGTTTTGGAGTTATGGTAGTCCAACCAGAATGTCTAAAAAAAAATGGCGGACATAATTCCAGCCGTTATAGTCATCTGAAATAAAAAAACCAAAAAGATTCTTAATCTGTATGAGTGTGGTTATCGTGTGAACTAGAATTAAATCGATATTTGCAAAATTCAAATTTTGCGACTTACAAAACTAACCAATTTTTTGGTGGAAAATGAAATTTTTTTTTTGAGACGCTGCCATTTCTTTATTTTTCAATATTTTTTTTTTATTCTAGTTCACGCGATAGCCACACTCATACAGATTAAGAATTTTTTTGGTTTTTTTATTTCATATGACTACAACGGCTGGAATCATGTCCGCCATAAACAACACTTTTTTTTTTAGGCATCCTGGTTGGGCTACCATAACACCGAAACAAATAAATATTTTTATTCAAAAAAATTTCAGAATATACTTGAGATGTTACTTAATAAACGTGGAAAGTTTTGAATTAATATGTTTTATATTTTTCTTTAAAAAAATTCCCAAATATTGCCTTTTTTCAGAGCGTCAAACTAGGAAGACCCCTTAAGTCCACACTATAAATTCAAAATAAAGCAATCATTGTATAAGATTCCAAGATAACATATCTTAAAAAAATGTTACTCTTCATATTCGCTTTCAATTTGTTTCAATTATCTGCTCGCGTGTTCAACTACCTTTCTTACGCATAATCTTGCGTTGCATAAGATTTATATATTATAACAGAGCATGTATATAATTTTCTAGAAGAGGCACGCAAGAAGAAATTCGGCAAGAAGAAGAAAAAACATCTGCAAAAACTCCTGGCACTGGCTATGTTGATAAAAGCGAAGATCGGCCTGCTGCTACAGCTCATCAGCACGCACTTCCAACTCAAGTTCTTCGTCATCGCCGTCATCTCATTGATACTGAACGCCGCTAGGTTCTGGATAGAGATCAAAAAGAATCAACCCTCCAAGGTTATCTACTACGAACACGCACAACATCAGCATCACTACGATCATGACGATCACGAACATGGTTATTGGGGAAGATCGTCGAATGAAACACCTCAAGACCTCGCTTATCGTGGTTACGTGCCCACGGAATGACATCAGAATTACACGAATCTGACCGAAGAGACAAGAGATTTTGCGCTAGAAAGATCAAAGAAGAATTAAAAAATTACGCAAATCTCATTGTAAAACAATTACAGTCACAGTCTTTATTTTAGAGCTAGCGAATTTTCAGTCTGGAAATATTTGAGACACAATGCGCATCGCGCGATATTTATTTTTTGTATTCTATATATTTATTTATTTATTTAATTTATTGCATCGAAGCCAATGTTCTCCGACCGTTTTGAATTTATTTAATAACGAATGATAGCAGATTTATCTAAATTGTAATTATCACATATAAAAATAATATTCGATTCCTAATCGCCTTAGATTATACCAAAGTTGCTTACGAGTACCTGTTCTATTACGCTACGCAGAGATTTTTTAGGATCAGCTATTGTAATTAAAAGAACATACTATTACTCGTATCGTGACTTAGCAAACACTATTAAATCTAAGTTTAACATTTTTCTGTGTGTGAATATTTATCGTAAGATAATAATATTACAAAATATTATACAGCCTCTCAAAAAAGAGAATATTTCTTTATAAGACAATAATAATTTATAGTAGCAGAGCTAAATAATTTCTACAGAAGCGTGTGTATGTACTAAAATTTTTGATAATAAACTATACGAGTATACGATTTCTCTCCTGTCTTTTTAAAGTACGATTATAGGTGCTATGGCAACGAAGGAAAATGAAAAATTGTCACGTCACTATAAAGAGAAACTTTTGGCGGTTCCGATACACGAATCGCACGACCTTCTTCAGACGCACCGGTGGACCATCCTAAAATCTTTGTATTCCTCGTCATAGCACGGCGGGCAATGCGACTAGAATTCTTAAGGAGCAGTTATACTTTCAGGGTGTTCACCTTGCTACTGATCGATTCAATGATAGACAGACGAGATTTTTGCGGCGATTGCCTCGCATTGATGCACCACCCATCGGAAAATAAAATCTTTTGATAGAAACGTGTCTTTGAATTTGTAGAAAACAATATTATATACAAGTACAAGATATATAAAATTAAAAGTAAAAAATGCGCATGTAAATTTAATTATTAAAAGAAATCACAAAAAGAGAGAGAAGAAATTACATATACATGTATATAGATGATTTACTGACTATCGTAAATTTAATTATTAAAAGTTAATTATTAAAAGCAATCACAGAAAGAGAGAGAAGAAATTACATATACATGTAAGTAGATGATTTACTGACTATCGTAAATTTAATTATTAAAAGTTAATTATTAAAAGGAATCATAGAAAGAGAGAGAAGAAATTATACATGTAAGTAGATGATTTATGACTATCTTATTTATAATAAATTCACAATATTGACAACGTTTGAATCTTCAGACTCAAGACACTGTATATCTTTTCTATATGAATTTTTTTATGTACTATAATGTGGATTGATGAAAATACACGTGTGATAATATGTTTCTTTTATATAAAAATCCTGTAATCACCGAAAAGCTATCGAACTATTCGTTGTCTCCATTGTCAATAGCCAAAAGCAGGTGCGATTTCGTAATCGTTGGATACAAATCACCGTGGAAACCATTAAGTATTCACATCCCGAAGAAATGCCACTCGCGACGCGACCTTAACAGAGATAAGGCCCGGCCGGGACTGCCCTCGAATTTCGACGGCCGAATTCGCCCGACACCCCGTCTTCGAAGCTTCAATTGGAACAAAGCCAATAACGGAATGGGATCAATGTGTCGCGTTTCGGATAAAATAAATAACTACGGTATAAAGAATAAATTCATGAAGTGCGCGAGATTAAAGAGTTACGAGAAAATTTGAAGCGTTTCGGTGTCTTTCAGCATATTTATTCTCAACGCATGTAATTTATATATGGCCTTCGAACCACGTGTCTTTTTGGAGTCCTCATAGACAATTCAACGTATTTGATTCCTTTCGAAAATAAAATACTTTTTCAGCAGAAGGACTCGTCTGACTGCTTAATGTTTCGATAAATTATCAATTGTCGTTATTTGATGCATCGCAGATAATATTTTTTCATGGGCAGAAATTATTTCTCTTATTTGAGACAATTTTCATAAATACAAAAATGTAACAAGATATTATGCATGATAATTCATCATAAAAATATTCTTGTGCACAGTTTCTCTAACTTCCATGCATCGTTGTTCAGTTAATTTGATAACAGATTAAAAATAAACAATTTAAAAGTCAATAAATTAAAAAAAATCGTGTGTTATATATGTATTTATGCAAACAGAATTACGCAATGCAAGAAAGTATTCATTGTGCATATCTTCAAGAATAAAATAAATGAAAATTGCCAAATGAGCACATCAAGCCGTAAGCAGCAAGCATTTGCATCGAGCCTTCGAGGTTGATGTGGACGTCTGACGATGGTCATTGGCAGACAAAACGTGATAAACTTACTGATTTCAATTTACCGAGAATCTGCCATTCATACAATATTCAAGATCCTTACAGCAGTTCGCTATATAATACCCTTCTGCAGATCACATCATCAGTCTTCTCAAGATCCTCAAACAGAGCTCCAATAAAACGTCACATTCGCCGAGGAACTAACCGCAGTGACCAAGAAACCATCGTTACTCGAAGAAATAACATACAAAGACACGTATTTCATACCTCGTTAAAATTATGATGCGAGAGAAGCTCCTCGCCGTGCTGTTTCTCAGTTTTATTGCGATAGTTCTGAGTTTGCCTCAGCAATCAAAATCGAAGAGACCCACTACAGTGTTTAAGGTTTTTAAATATCGATTTCTGCGTTATTCCATATCGCAATTCTTCGAGATTGCAGATAGAAAAATCAAATTTTTCAATAAAATTTTCCAGCAACCGGCAACTGGTGGCTTGCTGCTTCCCGATAACGCTACGCTCATCCGCGACAACATCGTCGACACGTTTTCCTGCGAGAATAGAGTTTATGGATACTACGCCGACGTGGAGAACGAATGTCAAGTGTTCCACGTGTGTCTACCGCAAACTAGGAACTCAATTAGATGGAGTTTTATTTGCCCCGCCGAGACAGTTTTCAATCAAGTAAACTAATATTTGCTTTTTACAATAGTTTTCTCATGTATTTTCAGAACATGCTGATGTTAAACAATGGCTATTTATTTGCTGACCTGTTTTGTTCAAAATTACAAAGGTATATTAATAATATTGTACAATATTCCTTACTTTTGATTTACAGGCGACATTTGTATGCACACGGACAGAAAGTTCGATACCATGCGAGGAATCGGAGAAATATTACGTTTTGAACGAGGAGATTGGCAAGGAAGTGGAAGAGGAAGAGGAGGCAGATCAGGAACGAGGAAAGGAAAACACCACAAAGACTTCTGAATTGGAAACGGTGTCAAAAAAATCATTTTCGAAAAATTCTAGATTGTTAGATCGAGAAAGGTTGTTCCGGCATAATTAAAAATACACCTTTTCTCCGCTCATTTGAAAGGAATTGTTCTATAAAATATCGTAATTACGGCTAGCCAATATCTCAGCTTAAGAATAAAATTTTAGCTTACACCGATTAAGATTGACTAAATGCTCATTTAATCATTAAGATAATCGCTTATAGATCGCTTATCATCTTTGTAAGAGCGCTCATAATAGCAAATACATAAGGCTAAAGTTTAAATTATTGTCGATATAAAATATAACATAATGACGCGTGTGTAAAATAAAATTTCTGTACAGAGCCAGTCGAATACGAGTAAAATAAGTCGTATTTCTCGTAATTATGTGCAAAAAAATTAAACGCTTATATCTGTAATTATTAATCGAATAAACTGAAAGATGCAAAAAAGATAATAGCTTTTTTTTATCTTTGCAAAAACAAGAATAACGACGGAACACTTTAATAATAATTATTGTCAAAAAAAGTTTGTTTACAGTGACGCAAAAAGATATTTTTTATTGCTAATAGTATATAAGTACAGGCCAACAAATATAATCATCTAATACTGATATCTAGAATACAAGACCATGATTATACAAGAAAAAGCGTTACACGAATGTCCCAAGCCTAAAGTGCACAAGAATCGTGACGCGATAGCCTCGCAAACGTAATAAAAAAAGAATCAGAAAAAACCTACTAATTGAAATAAAGCAATATATACACGGCGATAAGAAAGTGTTATTGACAACACTATGCATTTGCATTGATATGTGTCGATATTGGTCTCTTGTGAACTTAATATAAAACAATTAAAAAATATAAAAACGCATTAAATAATAACAGAAAATTTTCTGTTACTATTCTATATAGCTTTTGCGCTAATATTAAAATGTAGTTTCGGAATATTGAACTTAAACTAGAAACACACATGCACACGTAAAACGGCTAAGAAGTAAATCCAAAATCATCGTCCGATTCGTCGATCATCATCGCAAAATTTTCGTGAAATCGCACAAGTCGCGACGTTTGAAACATCATCCACAACTCCCGCGCGTTCCATCTTTTTCTATTCGATATCTTTGGATATCTAGCTATCATCTCAGATAAGCGAAGCCTATCTAGCTTTTCGCAATGCCGATAAAATAATAAAATAAGCAACAATTGTACAAGAACACTCATATCCACATAACAACACTCTAACGATAAATATTTCTTCCTTCTTGTATTGGAATTGCCGATTCGTAATGTGCATATAAATACAATTTAAAAAATTAAATAAACAAATATAAATCCAAAACGTTTGCGTCATTAAACCATATTAAAAAAGATGTATAAGTTAAGACATGATTTTTTACGATGTAGCGAATCATCTCTTTTCGAAGAAATTAAAATATATTAAACAGAACGTGTTACGCTCGAGATATTAGTAAAAAATGTTGCACTTAATATATACAATTATTTACTTAATATAATAATTCTAATTGTATCTACGAATATTTACATATAAACTTATTAAAAAACTTTTCTACATTTGTATTAAAAATATATAATTACTAAATACATATTCTCTTCAATAAACCTATTTCCAAGCAATAAAAAATATATATTAAATCTTCTTTTCATTATGTATATGTGTATGTGTGTGTATGTGCGTCGAATTAACTCTTTCATTGTAAAAAAATATATTGTTTTATGTAAATTTTTTAAACAACAGTATATAAATGTTTATAAAAACTATACAAAGTATCTATAAAAAAAATAATTAGTAGCTTAATATAACTGCATTCTCCTGTGATGTGATAAAAGAAATGGTGATATTTATTTGGAAATCTAATGATGTATTTTCTACCCTGTATATGTGTGTGTGTGTGTGTGTGTGTTGTCTTTCTCAAAAAATATTCTTCGGATTATAAAATAATTATCTATTCTATATCGTGTTAGAATTAAACCGAATTCTTTGAAGACGATTTCGATCCCACAGATTTATATTGAACTCTTTTTTTACTCTTTTACGTAGATCAAAGATTCCCCAAATTTTTCTGACTAAAAATTCATACCTATTCATATTTTAGTCTATTAAATAACGAAAGACTTTTCAAACTACGCCTCGGAATCCATCGTGAGATCCGCTTCGATCTCTTCGGGACTTCTCAGGTCGATCGCGAATCTCTTTCTAGCGATGTTGTTCCCGGTAACCTCGGCCAGTTTCTCCTGAGCCTTCACGGTTTTGGAGTACATTTCAAAGGCTGTTGCGAGAGCGTACGTCAATTGCCTTGCATAATACTTGGACTCGCAAACAAAACCGTGACACTCAAACGGCGAGATCCTTCTGAAGTTCTCCGTCTCGCGAACGACTATCATAGAGAAGACCCTAGTGTAAACGAGATCTTGCACCCCATAGGAGATCGTCTCGATAGGATACATCCTGGAATTGGCATCCTGCTTTCTCTTATCTATCGGCAGCAAGGTAACTCCTTCCTGAGAGACCACCAGTTTGATAAGAGGAAGCATTGTGTTGGTCGGCAAGGCCTTTGCAGCAGAAACCATATTATCGACGGGCCTTCTCGTATGCTTGATGCCCCAGAGGCCTCTTGCATCGTGGGACCCCAAATATTTCACCTGAAAACGGTCCGCCTAAAGTCTCAGACATTTAACGGACTTCTTAAGAACCTTTGGTCCTTGAAGACCAAATGCCCTTTTAATATTTTCTTCTAACAAAATTTAATATCTTCTTCTAACACAATTAGCCTTCAGTAATGAAAACACTAATCATAGACATTTCGCGAAAGAAAATAGTTGCAAAGATTTTAAACAATTAATTGATAAAAATGTTCTGTAAAGATTTTTCTTTTTTCTATGATTTTTTAAATATTATTTTTATTTTAAACAAAATAAAAAAAATATATATTTTACAAGAATGTTTATATCGCTCAATTTATATATCACAGTATGATTAAATCTCAACAGGTCTCGACTATCCGTATTTTACTGAAGCAGATATAGAACGCAAATATTAGCGCAAGACTTTCACAAAAGATTTAAGGCCCCCTGCTTGAGAACTATACCTGAAACACTTGCGGCAGATCGGTGGATCCTTCGAAAACATTATTGTCGATGGACAAACGCGATAACTTTGACACAAAATCTTTCTTCTTATCATCGAAGGATACCGGATTCTTCTCCTTCTTCATTTCTTCCAGAGACTGGTCCCTCTGTTGCAAATTGATATCTTTTAATATGCAATTCAGGAATAATTTAAAATCGATTACAAAATAATACACAAAAACGATCTCTACTTATTTAGTAATTTAACAGAAATTCCTAATGGATAAAAAAAACTTCGATTAATACAAGAATGTTATTAATCGATATAAATGGCGAAGAAATGAAACATAGAATGATAAGATTACGAGATAATTCGAACATTCTAATAATTTTGATAATTACAAGATAATGCTTGGCATTCTTGGCATACATTTTAATTAACAACTACATTAATAAAAATGGTAGATCAATCTTGTCGCAGCTTTTATGATTCTGAAGCACATTTTTTTACCTGCGCTCTCTCCGTGAAAAAACCTTAAGCACTACTCACAGGAATGTTATCGCGTCGGCAGTGTTTCGTCGTTGATATAGGCTTGAGATGATACTCCACCACGTTCGGTATGTTCGGCGTGTCGGGCACGACTGAGCCGGCGGCGGTTGAAGCGCGTTCACGACCCTCGCTTCCGGCTCTGGTCGGAGGCGCTGAAGTCGTTGATCCACCACCACCGACTTCCGACGTCTAATGGCATTTTATCAAGCTGTATAGACATCAATCTATTCTCGTATCTTCACAACACGCATCTTAAAGTCCGAATTTTATGCACTTTGTCATCATTTTACGAGAATCTTTAGTTGTTTTCGTGTTCAAATATATATGTATTACATTAGCAATTTTTAACTATTTCAAAGATATAATTAGGTTTTATAAGACTCTTTAGTCTTGTTCTTTGTTAATATTACTATTAGAAATATTAATTGTATATTAAAAGTTGTGATCATAAACAATTTGTATGAAATTAAATGTGCAAAACTACAATTCTTTGAGCAAACAAAAATACCAACCTTAGATGAAGGACGGATTCGTTGCCCATCGTTACGAATTGTATTATTATCGACCGTTTGTTCGTTGCTAACAATGTGCATCATTCTCAGAACGTTATCGGACCTTCTCGCGAAACCAAAGTCCTCGTTTTCCATGACGATCGGTTAAATTGGCTTCGTGGTTAACGCGAAATTTATCGCTTCCTCCGTTTCTCCTTTTGTCTTTTCTCTTCCTCCTTTCTTACATTGGACAGGAATAACGGACTATCTGCAAATAATGTTCATCGATCCAAAATGCATTATTTCCACTCGCTGTTCAAAGCTCTTACGATCGTTGAACAGTAAATACAAAACAAGACATCTGTAATTCTTATGATGATCTACTTCCTCCTGCGTGTTTCTCGAAATGCGACCTCCATACGCGAGTAAACCGCGAGTTTCGATGAATGACTTTGCGAGTCTATGACAGACGTGGGAGATTCACCCCCTGTCACATTGTAATAATTGCTATTTAAAGATGCGCCCGGGCGCAAAATTAAAAATGGACTCAACGTCTGAATTTCAACCGGAAAACAGCTGTCGAGCAGCACGTGTTGCACCTTGCATCGGCCTGTTTCTACCAAGCTTTTTTCTTCCTTTCTTCCACTTCACCGAACCGTATATTTGTGCTATTTATAGGGCAATCGTTCGAACAGAAAACTTTTATTTACTTTGTTATCGATCCGATAAAAAATTATTAAGAATGTAATTACATTCGTTTTTCTAATTATACTTATTACAGCTTTCAATAATAATTATTTATACTCTTTTTCTTCCTTGAATTTTTAATCCCGTATTCTTTGACACATTCATATATTTTTACATATTTAATATATTAATTTATATATTATTAATAGATATGATATATTAATTTATACGATCGTAAATTTCATATTTATTAAATCACAAATAAGTAAGAGTAAGTATGAAAGAATTATACGACAGACAGACGTTCACTGTTTTAACTTTCGCTGTTCTCTGTAAACGCGCAACGACAATGACAGGTTTTTGTTCACGTCTGTGATTACATCTCGACAGCGGATGCGCGGGACACAATTGTATCGGCGATTTTAAAGTTTACCAAAGGGAGGGGGGACTTTTCAGAGCCGACAGGAAATGACTCAGGTGACCGATAGTCAGGTGAGGAAGGATTCATTAATGTATTCCGTTCGTTACACAGGTGTGGCGTGTTTCGGTTGTTCGGCTTTGTGTTTACGAGGCATCCGCGTATACGAACATTATTTTGGAAGTAATGCAATAAAAGTCTTGATGTAAATACGCAAAAATGGAGACTCGAAACTAATAAATGGCACGAACAATATAACACAACCGTGAACGCACAAACAAGTCATATATTACATAATAAAATTCAATAAATATTATAAAATCTTATTCCTTTTTTTGTAAAACGTAATTTTATAGCTGGCAAAAAATATAAATGTATGCTAAAAAAATATTTTACTGCACAAGAATTGTTATTCAGATGTACCTCAAATTTTACAGATTGTGAAAGATCTTGAAAAAAGAGTACTTCTAACTCAGAAAGAAAATGTGTACGAAAGCGAAATGGAACACCCCGTACGTAGCCGCGTCTGTACACCTGTCGTCGAATTACACCCGCGTACAATAGCAAAACTGAATACGAACTACTACTTAACGGGTGTCTGCGAAAAATTAAAAAAAAGTCTTCCTAAAAAATATTCGTTTTACACAAGAATCACATCGATGCGAGGGAATTGAGATTGCATAAAACTGACATTTACACGTTAACGTTACGATCGTGCATAGCATCAAGAAATTGAAAGACATCGATAATCGATCAGCACGTCGCGGCCTGTGCATGTGCATAATGTGAGAAGCAAGAGAGAAGGTTCGGGATATGCCCGATAACGGTAGCGTTAGCAGATGAAATAGAATCGCTGCTCGTTATTACGGTTTCTCCTAGATTTCCGTTATATCCGACGTTATATCTCGCAGAATCCCGACTTTTACGTAATAAAAAGAATTGCAATGAAACACAAGAAAAGATTTTGATGCAACGAGTAATCTCGTTACCTATATAATATCGCACGCTGCACGATGGCGAAGCGCATTCCTCGTCAATATCGGCGCGATGCTTTTCGCGATCGTCGAAAAAAAAATCGTCAACGCCGAAAAAATTTACGGACGTTATTCGCGGCCTACGATTATATCTGACAACGCGAAATCAGCTAATTCCCTCTTTTCATTTGCAGCTCGTGGAAGGGTGGAAACCGGAAGCGAGCGCCGCTGGATGTCTGACCGGAAGTTATTATGGTCGTGTCACGAAGGAGCTCCAACGATGCGTGCCACGCATCCGTCCTCACGGAATTCGAACGGAATTCAGCGGATTGTGAACTCGTTGGGGGAAAATCTAACAGTCGTGTAGCGTGTAGCGATTAAATCGCTACTCGTTTCAACACAAATTCCTAAAAAAAATCACATGTTCCCGTATATCTTTTATATATATCAAGATCGTTGATAAAACAAGACATACGAAAAAATATAGTGTCTGATAAAAATTATCTGACGTCCTTCTATTTGCATACGCGTATGCTGATACTTCATTCATTACTCGCACGAAACTTAACGTGATAAACAAGTCAAGTAAAATGAGATGTTCGTTTAAGCAGAGTCATCAATTCCACTTGTTTCTCTTCATGAGTTTTTTATAATTAAAATTCTTTTGATTCAAAGCGTAAAGAAGTCAGAGAATAATAAAGAGTAGCGTTTTAAAAATTAAACTTTAAAAACAAAATATTATCAACGAGCTATAAGCTAATAAATATAAACTACATTTATAACGAGAATTTTGACCAAAAATTAAAAAAAACTTTCAATTTTTTCAAATCAAATATTATTTTAAGTTATTTTACATTATTATATATGTGCGTTATTATTTCTTTTCAAACAATAATAGGTCGCCATGATTTTATCTGCATGCTTTATCATATCTCTCGATTGCCCAGTCAACCTTTGATAAAAAACGACGATTGTGACACGTCAAGTGTCACAAATTTACGATCGAAGATCATTGTTGAATACATGACGAGAAAACATACGCAATTAGTCGTCGCGAAGCGACTCGTTCGGCGACGCAGGGATGCGTGCGATTGCACAAGCACAGGAGACCGGGAGGCCATCAGCAGACGAAACTATCGGGCGAAGAATTTACGACAGCCATGCCGAGGCGGCACCATCGATCGTTAATTTAAACAATAGCCGCATACTAATTACGACGACCGCCGCCGGGCTCGCGGCGATGGAAATCAGTTGCAACAAATCGCAACGAAACACAACGGACACTTTATCGGAGGAATCGCGATCCGCTCGAAACGAAATGGATGGATCGATTTATAGCGATCGCGATGAATCGATCTGCGATCAATTATGATTCACGAGCGATCGGATCCGCATATAAATATATCGCAGGTGGCGAATTGTACCTTCGGCTATTTACCTTCACTTTCCTGCGGCGGTTGACATGATCGAAACGCGTACGCACATACACACATAGTAACACACGCACACGTTCTAAATCGAGGTGGATTCTATGGCGTGCACTCCGTTCAGGTGCGATCGTTCGATCTCGATCTTACCGTTCGACGCACCTGCGGCGAGCGACGACGACGGTGGCTGAAAAATCCCTCGCTTCCGGAAACATCATCGTCGCTTCGACGGTGCAGCCGCGTACGACGAGGCTCGCAGCGATTCTGCCCGATCTCTATACGCGAATCCGAGACTGAAATATATGTATCTAGCAGAGAAACGATTGACAGGCACCTGCGGTATGCACTGTCGCGTACGTGCGACTGAAAATGTGGGACAGCGCGTTCGCCGCGCCGTTCGTTCGTTCGTCCGGAGTCGCGCTACTGATAAAACGGAACGAGCTTCGATAGAGGTGTATACACACACATACACACACACACACATACATACACCGCGAACATGCGTCAGCTTATGCGCCAGAGTACCTGTAATAAACCTGAAGTTGACACGAGCGATAAGACGCATGAGCGACGCCGCTAGAGATTAATTGTAATCGCGCGACGTAAATAAAGAATCTTCAGATGCTTCGAAATCGTAGGATCTCTTATTTGGAATAATTATCGTAGAATGCGGAATCGTATAAAATATTTAGATTAATCGTAGCGTAGAAATGATAGCCGTTTTATAAATTATAACGATTTCGATACTTAAAGTTATACCTTCGGTATAAACTTGATGGTAAAAAATGGGAGTCATCAACTCTGTTGCAGAACAAAGTGCGGCAAGCGCTTCCGACATTCACTCTCATTATGATCTTTACCCGCATTGCTTATATAAGTTAAAACACAATCAAATTCATGCGACAGAAAAGTAATCTTACGCAACTAACGCGTCGGCAACTTTAGTCGCGAGAAATAAAACTTAGCTGTGTCCAAAAAATATTGCTCTCTCCCGACAAATCTATGCACCTCTCAGCTCTCTCTCTCTCTCTCTCTCTCTCTCTCTCTCTCCATCCTTCGTTCCGGAAATCAATCACAATTGCACTGCGTAACATAACGTAATAAAATATACGCAAGATTGTGATTAAATGAACATTTACACGTGCAATTAATGTGCATCCATCAGTGCGAACAATGCCGTCTCCCGTGAGTTAGTTTCTCCTCTCGGGAGAATTTAAGATATATTATATAATAACGGCATGCTACACGGTATTCTCATTTATTTTGTATCATCAGATTTATCATCGGCCATCGACAAATCTTCAAGGAATCTCTACTTTTCTCTCGAAGCTATCATCTCGATCCGTGATGAATTATTTGATTCGCTCGGCGAACGGTAAAAACGTGAGAATAGCTTTCGTGTTTCTTTGTTGGTATCCAACGACAGGGAAAGAAGATGCTCGGAAGTCAAGTCGTTATGAAATTGCGGGGGATTATATCGGGTGAACAGCGAGTGTCGTGCGAAGATGCTAAGCCGCTTCAAGAATGTCACGAGAGTCAAACGTTTCTTTGAAAACATCTTATCTCATAATGCAGCATAATGTTGTAAATATTATTAAAAGCGAAATTATCTTGAAGCTAGTGAAACCTAATTCGAAGATTTTAAGAGATCGCTAACAAAATCTTGCTAATATAATTATGTTTGCAACAGAAACCAAATAACGCTTTCTATATAAGTCATGTGTACGGATTTCATTGCAGCATTTTATTTTCCTCGCGCTAAATTCTTGCGAATAGATTATCGAATTCTTAGTGTAAATTTAAATCGGGAACATTTTCCGATGTAAAGGACGCGCTAATGGCGAGTTATTCAATGAGAATGGAAGAGACATTCTCTCGCGAACGGCGGATCGGTATTTTTTTAACGCTGTTTCGTTCGCGCCCGGTAAGTCGCAAAAGTAATAAATATAGACCTTCCCACGGCTGCCGCGTATATTTTGCAATCGCTCCGATATATGTAATTAACACAAGTAGACAGATAATTTAATTAAGAACAACATTCTGCACCCGCGCTCCGCATCCGCACGCAACGCGCACCGTAATACGATCCGTGCGAAATCGGCCGTAAGGAGAGAGGGATGCGTTTTTCAAGCGCTTGTTTCCTGTTGTTCTTGAAATGCAGCACGTTGACGCAATGTTTTAATATAAAATCGACGAAGCATAACGCATGCAATTAAGATATTTATCCGTATGACGTGAAAAATGCATTAAAAATAAGATACTATTTATAATCTATTTATTCTGTGAAAAAAGCTCCTCCGAGCTAAATCAAATTTATAAAAAATTTTGTATATATATATAATATTTCTTATGATTTATAATAATTAATAAATTTCTCTCTTTCTCTAAAATAACATAATTATAAAAAAAATTTGCAACTTAATTCTTTTGTTTCAAAGAAAAAAAATAAGTTGTATAGTTCAATCCATGTGAGTCATTGACGACTAGGCGTCTAGTTGCCTTGAGTTTGCATGTCAATCTGGAAAAGCTCGCAGGTACCAATTATACATCGCTAATTGGCATGAAACGTGTTTCGAAAATTAAGGGTTTCGGAACGGAAGATGCCGACGCGTTCGCGCAACGAAGAATGCAAATGAACGACTCAACCTCGCGCGAGATGCGAATTGCGGTTCTTAATTCCGCGATGTATCTCAAGGTCGCATCTTTCGTAAATTCATGAAGACATTTTCGTGTGAAATCAAAACGTCAAACTCATAGTCATAAATGTCATCGTTGTCCCACAGGTAAGAAAAGAGAGACGGCATTCATTTTTTCAAAAGAGAACTTTAAAAGTTACAACTTTAGAAATTTTGTTGTGTCTCCTTTATATCGCGCAATTACGGTACCGCGATAGATCACGTAAGTTCGCGCACACTGACGTCCATCTGTCGTTATTAAAGGATCATTAAAGGACGGCGTTAGTAGGAGTATAATAAAATGCGTAATTATCGCTCATTGTGATCCAGGGTGAAAGCGTTAGTTGCCAAAACAAAAACCATATGTCACATTACGCCATTGTGCGATCGCGAGAATTTCAAAGGGCGGTAAAAGACAGAACGAAAAGATAGATTGAGGTTCGTTGAAGCGCGGTATGACGGATAACCATGAGTGTTGAGCGACGGCGCAACCTTGGATCTATTGCAGGATAAGAACGAATCATTTCGGAGTCCGCCCTGTTGACGAGCGTTTCCGTTTCATGGAAAAATCTAAAATGAAAAAAGAAAACAAAATCTTATCTGATCGAAGAAATCGACGCGGTGATCTCAACCCCTCCATAGTAGATGCAAAACAGCAATTAACGATACAATCGTGCAATCTAAGAATATTCGACTGCTTATGTAACAAACTGATACGTCAATCATGCTTCAGCGAAGTGGAAAAGCGTTGAATTCTAATGTTATATTACAAGGATAAAAAATTTGTCTCTGATACAAAAATTGTCTCTATTTTTTTATCTATCAATTTATACTTCCACTAAAAATGTCATTGCTTTCTCATCAGTTGGCAAATAAAATTGCAAAATTTTTATCGTGACACGATTTTAATCCGTGATTTTATCTCTGACGTGAACTATATTTATAACCATACAACATTTTTCTTAGTTATTTCCAATTCGAAACAGCACAGCCGGAATAATTAAACATACAACTCTCAGGAAAAAATAGCCAATTTATTGAATCTTGATCGAATAAAGATCAAATGAAGCATATACCGAATCCATTTAAATCCCATTGATTAATTATGAGAATTATCTCTCTCTTTCTCTCTAAGTGTGGCTAAAGCTTTAGCAAAGTTCTATGCAAAAATTTCAAATACGTGAAAAAGTAAGAATATTCATAATTGCTTAGACTTTCTTCTATTCCTGAGAGAGATATAATAAAAAGAGCAAATGCATTACAATGGTTCAAGTACAATGGTTACGAATATTTTCACGGGTGTTAGACCACGAGACAACGATTGCGTAAGAGCAGAATCTCTGCTGCATCACAGGGGAACATCCCTCCTTCCACCGCTCTGGGATCTTCTCTTTCTCCGTTCGTCTGATGTGGGAGCCCCAAGAAAGAGAGACTCTCAAGAATCCCCCCCCTTTTTCTCGGCCGATGTCTAAAACCATATATATACCACCACCTCATAGAACAATCCTTTGAGAAAGATACTTTGGAAGTAGCGTCGTCTTGCGAACCTAAAGCACTTCGGATAAGTAATCACTATTCGTAAGTGCAGTGCACGGAAAACTGAAAAGGCAAAGGAACACGAAAAGATAAATGATCACCACGCAGCACGATACTGCGGACTAAGGGGACCAGCTTTTTCGAAAAGGTAGGCACCTGTGACTATAATTCTCTATTTCATCTCCCGTTAACCTTTTGTTCCCAAAAAATGTTTCAGTAGTGCTTTAAAATTATGTGACAGAAAAGTTAAAAGAGTAAATATATTGAGTATTTAAATTTCTCTCATATATAAAAAATTAAAAAAAAATTTTAATATGTTTTCTATTTTTGTTAATTATTAAGTAATCAAAAGTCTCATATTTTTTAGATGATTTCGAGGTATCAAGTACTCTGCGCTCTTTTGCTTTTTGGCGCGGTTATAATCTATCAAACAATGGCGGTAAGTTAAAATTTGTCTTAACTTTTCGACCTTTTCGAAACACAAATCATCCCTTTCAAAAATCATAAATAATATCGCAAAAATACTTTTTATGAATCTGCAAAAAATTACATCTTCAAACAATGATTGCCTAATATGTATGACATTGTGGTGTGTATGTGTGTTTGTGTGTGTGGGAAGGTATTTCGTAAATACTCCACTTTTACAAAACTAGCACGGTGGATTAAAGCACCAAATTATTATTTTCATCGCAGCTTCCCACGATGTATCGCGTAACAATAAGCGAGTGAACCATATCTGCACGCATCATCTTTTTCCAGGTGGTAACATTAAGTAATTCATTAATTAACCTGTGTTACGCGGACGTGCTTTCTCGCTTGTATACGAAATGCCTCGTTAGGCGAAGTCACTCAAAAGCACTCCGATTCATGAATACTTTCATCATTTCAAGATTCTAATAATAAAAATTCAAGATTTCTAAATAAACAGTAATCTTTCAATATCGTATAACATAAAAAATTTGAATCTTTTCTTATCTTAATACCGGAAATAATCTCTCTCTCTCTCTCTCTCGAAGAAAGTTCACATACATATATATTTTTTATAAAATATTAATTTATATTTTATTAAAATAAAATATCGTGTATCTTACATTACATTAATAAATTTGAATAAAAAATAACGTACGAATATCCGAATTCGCCGCATCCACTCTTGCAATTAGAAGACATATTTCACCGGAAACGACAACCGTGGAACCGATGAAAATCGGGATAGAAAATAATAAGCCGAGAAATAAAACGCAGCTTCAATGCCGCGAGGTTAACAAACGGAAAGATAAGATATTTAATTAATTTTAGCTCGCAGTATCCTACTTCCACACGACTAATGCATCTTTCACCATATCATTTTACAGCGCAATAAAATAATACAATTTTTATTTCTACGAGCAAAATTTAATATATAATATTTAAGACATATTTTATATTATTGTAATATATTTTTCATTAAAACGCGTATAGTTATAAATCCTGTTATATTCATGCTTATATTTTTTCATCGAGCTTATGTCATGCTTTAATTTTCGCACATGCCATATTTTGAAAATGGATCCTTTTGATCCTTCGTCTTCTTACCAAGCGTTAGAATCACCTGTTAGATTCGATGCGGATGGAAAAAGGGGATGTGGATCATATATCTGCATACGTACACGTGAAATCGTAAACAAGAGATCGTATACAAAGCCGCGGAGATGCGCATCCGCTTGGGAGGAACAATGTAACCCGACTTCCGGTCAGACATTGGCACGTGCACGCACTGAAGGGTCTCGAGCCGGCGCGTCGTGTGTTGCAATCGCCTCTTTATTCCTTCTCGTTTTGACTGATGGCCAATTGCGAAAAAGATCCTATATCGCGCCCTCCTTCTAGGCTCGAGATGAAACACAGAGAATGATTGCTTCTCAATTAATGTCATTTCATAGTGTTCATTAATTATAGATATTGATTGCGGAAAAAATTTATATATTTCTAACTATATTATATTTACTCCAAAAAGCGCGCGTAAACATAGTCTTATCAAAACTTATATAAAATCGATATAAAATCAAATAGAACCGTGTTATAAGAGGCAATACGAAGAATACATATTTTTTCATGTTTGCTACGTGTAACTGCAAGTTATTAATAATAAAATAATTGATTTTACGTCAAGGGAATTATATGAAATTTATCGACACGCACATAAATTTTAATGGCTCAACGTGCGTGCCCGCGTTAAAGAAAGAGGAAGTGCAATTTATGGCGTGTATCCTCATTCGTGCCACATTCCATTGTCGAGATGATACATGTTGAAATGTATTGTTATTTGTTCCAACGGAATAATAACGACGGCAACGTGATTATGCTTCTCTAAGTTTCACTATTTTCGCTAAGTTTCGCTAGTTTCGATGCAATCATCGAGATTTGCAATGGAAATTGCATACGCAAATACAATAATGATGTAATCGCTGCGCGACAGAGTAAAATTATAACAACAAATGATTGAACCCTCTGGAAAAATGATATTCAAGCGGATTAATAACAATTTTATAAAATCATGGCTATCTATGACACGCATAATCATTGGTGCATTACAGCAAGTGGACGGTTACACACCTGGCGTGGACTATCCAATTTACAATTCGGTGCCGTTCGGACTCACGTTTACCTGTGGAGGAAAGTTACCTGGATATTATGCCGATCCTGAAGCCAGATGTCAGGTGTGTCCATATGGTCACCGAACAGTCTCATTTCAATAATCGAGATTATTTAAATGTGTGTGCGCACACGTGCGTACTATCATATTACTACCTACTGATCTTATTAATAAAGATAGAAAAGAATGAACTCATATCGTTCTTAAACGAGTAATTTGCAAGCTATCCTGAAAATTTAAATATAAAACTAAATACAAAATATAAATGTTAAAAATTATTTAAAAAAATATAGATTATTATATAATTTTATTTTGCTCGCAAGTTTAAAATATAAAAAAATTTATTTGAAGATAGTCGCAAAATTTGTTGTCGTCGATAATTGAATAAAAAAAAATAAATATTGATATTTGGTTCAAGGTGTGGCATTGGTGCTTACCAAATGGACGTCAGTTTAGCTTCCTCTGCCCAAATGGTACAGTCTTTAGTCAAACGACTCGCGTTTGTGACTGGTGGTTCAAGGTATATACACATATATATAAAGTATTTGACATAGACACTGTTCTTAGAGATAATTATTTTTAATTGATTTTAATTTTCTCAATTATATTTTTGGCATTGCAGGTCGATTGCAACGATTCACCGAGACTTTACGGCAACAACGACGAGCTCTATAGAGATGTGAATGGGAACAAGATTTAACAACTCCTATATTTTAATTAATAGTTGATTGTGTACATTAATAAACTCTTTTATACATAATTTTTTCGCGAACGCAACGCTATCCGAAATACTATTTGTAGTCTACAAAGTATCGAAGTACTACGTACTGAATTCCTAGCTTGCCGATGCAGGAAAGTAACAAGGATGTCTGCTTTATTTATCGCTGTTAAATAAAATAGAATTTGCTCGAAAAGGGTTAGACATTTTTTATAATTATATAAATCGAATGCTTATGTTATCACGAAACATTGATTTATTTTTAGAAACATATGTTTCTGCTTCCTAGCTGCATGCTATATAAGACTTTCGAGAAATGTTAATCTCATATATACGTATATATGTATATAGGGGTATATTATAAAGAAATTATAAATTAAACAACACAACTTTTGTTTTTTTTTTTTTAACGGCGAATTAATTGCAACTAAAGAAGAGTTATTTGAAGCATTAAATAAAATTCGCGTCGGACAATTTCTTGGCATGATTGGACAATAGAAAGTGAGAGCTCGTGACTGACCAGGCGAACCCCACCCTCTTCTCTATCTTTCTCCCTCCGATACTAACTTCGACACTTAACTGCTATACTTTTCCATTTGCGTTTTGCATGCGTGCCTCGTTACGCGAAACAGCCTTTCATCCTGTTTCGCAATTTCGTCTCACCGATTCAAGAATGCACTTAACTTTACAGCTTATCAAGTTCGTGCATCACGTTATAAAAATCACAGTTTTTATCGTTAATAGCGGAGATTCATCGGACTCGATTATAAAGTCTTCTGCATAAAAACATATTTATAGAACTCTAAGGATAATATGACAAACACTCTCTTAATTGAAAATCGCCTTATAACTGTGATGATCATAAAAGTGACAGAGAAATTAATCGGCTCCTATTCTTTGTATGCATTTACAATCTCCTTTCGATCTGAGACGATAAGAAAAACGCAGAAAAAATGGGGAAAAAAACAGGAGGATACACCATAAGATTTATATATCAAGATATAAATATTAAACCGCGAATGACTTCTTATATTTTGTATATCAAAAATAATATAACACATCAAATAAGTTGAATAAAGCTGCAATCATAAAAATTATTAAAGGCAATCTTTCGACGACCAACATAAAAAAATCATGCTAAACCTGATTCCATATATTCGACCTTCCGCGCGAAGAAAGACCACAATCGCGAGCGAGCATGAAAAAAGAGGAAAATGGAGAAAACGAAGAATGTCGTCCTTGGTCGTCGATGATAGAGGAAGAAAGGATTCGTCGACTTCTCAAGAGACCAAGAAAGCGCCGTGAATCCCGTATAGTGAACAAAACCTGTGACACGAGGCCAGACGCTCCTTTCTTTGTAGTAAGCAGGATCCGCTTCACTTAGCCGATTATTGATGAGATTTCCAGTCCTTTCAACTAAAAATAAAGTCTATTTTAACATTTATATTTCATTGAATTTCTCACCAATTAACGATACAAAGACAATAATATCTACTTTTTATCAAGAATGGAATTTATCCTTAGCGAATAAATAAAGCTATAAATGTGAATTAAATTGACAGAATTGTTTTATTTAATTTGAGGAATAATAAACTTTATGTAAATATAAATGTATCAAAATATAAATTATGCGTTTTTTCGTCCATTATTATGTAACCAATGCAATGAATTTTTCGCTTCGCAATATGTTACATGATGTAACGTCAGAGGAATATGATAATTCTTATAACCAGTTTCTAATGATTACTGCGCTTCCCACATGTAACGCGAAAGGGAAAACCTTCCCACATATAACGCAATTGACATATATATTGCTATTTTCTTCAAATGTCATTAGAAGTCGTTAATAAGTAACATATAAATCCTATGCTTAGTGTCGTGTTAGCATCGCTTTAATCTCATGGAACAGTCCAATGGAGGATCCGGTTATTCTCTTTGGTGACAACATCTATTCGATCCGCGCGACCGTGAAGATAATTTATTGAAAATCCGAAGAGATGGGAATTTGTGTCCGTGATATTTCTACGAGCATTACGAAAGACCCATCGCGTAGGAAAAACTAGCTCCCTACATTTCGCCAGGATTCAAACAATATTTTTATCGATTGAAAAGTCAATTGAGACGTCATCTGTGCGGCTATTTCTGGCATCTATTGTCAAGATATTAACGCTCGACGTTCCACTTTCACTCGACGCATCTCTGATTGATCTTTCGTACGCATATCCTTCGAAGCGTGCAGGCTAAGTTTATTCGGTGACAGATGACGAAGGGATCGCGGTGGGCTTAGAAACCTCTGAAGGCAATAAAAGACCTTTGATAAAAGTCTCGATCGATCTGCCTCCACTTCATGATAAACGCATATACCTATTTATCATGACAATAGGTGTCGAACCGCTCGCATTACAAATGTCATAAAAATTCAACTGTGCTCAGATCGACCGATTCCATCCACTCCCATCTGTCATTCAATTAAACATAGATCTCTCACAAAGCTCGAATATAACAACGACGCTTAATGCGTTGACCGTAATGGATCAACAATAGAAATCAAACAATCACGGCTATAATCATCCACATATATATGTCATGCCCATCGTAATTATACGTCAGAGCAGTTTGTTGCAAAGCAGAGTCGGAGATTAATCCTATCGCCGCAATGCGAGAGCAAATATCACCGTCGCACGCAGCAATGACCTTACCAATTCGATATCAAGCCCGCTTTCCGGATGTGTATGTGTGGGTGCGGGTGATATGTCTGTGTGTTCTTCTCGTTCTGTCAGGTGGCGACGCAGGTGTCTGTCTCTCTACGTGCTGTGCCTATTCGCCGCGCGCGTGCCTTTCTCTCACGCGACCTGGGGCCTCAAGTCTCCGACAAGATTACGCCAATGCTCGGATCGGGCCCCAAAGACGCCAATGTGCCGCTCGACTCCCTCTCCGCCTTGTCGTCGGTCGTAGAAAGCTCTCAACCAGACGATGGTGGTCAGAGCACAACGCTCCTGCTGGTAGCTTTTCCACTTCCATCGCGCAGTCTTCTGGCCGGACCGGACGCCGCGATCTCGCCCTGCACGAAAAACCTTGTCGCGCGCGTATCGTCTTATCTTGTCTCGTTTAATTTTCGCGGCCCCACCGAAAGAAAAACCAAACGGCGAGCATTTTCCCGGGGGCATACGCATCAGTTTTTCACTCGACGAAAAGTGCTCGCTCTTCTTCTTGTAATATATCTATACAAAATATACCTGTGAATTTGCATTTCAAGTGCCAGTCGATGTAAGGACGTTGGTTTCATGAGGAATTAGCGAAGAACTAGCGGAGCCGAGAGAGACAGGTTTGGTCCCCTTATCATTTTCGTTTCGCGCAATGAATTATAAATTACATTATCCGCTCTCGCAGAGGCTGCGTAATCGAAGAGAACGAGCAATTTAAAAAAAAAAAAAACAAAAAAACAAAAAAACAACACGAACTTATTGGATCGTTCTCCATTTCGGAGTAAAGCTTTCGCAGCTCTCACGATCTTACGAAATCTGCATAGTGTTAAATCGCTCGTTCTCTCAAGAAACGATGTGTATATATGTTTTATTAATTTCAAGCGCGCAATATTATAGTTTCTTTCATATCTATATACGCGTTTCGATATTAAAAAGAAAGCGAAACGCCGCGATGTTTCGACGAACTTAATGAAATTTGCGTTACCTCACCGACCCTAATCACAGTGTTTATTTAGAAAGAGTCCTCAGCTTCTGCCCGCGGTCAGAGTATCATTGTTCTCTTGCGACAGTTCATGTAAGTTGGCCCGGGGGAATAGCCTTAAGAGAAAACTCGAGAATTTCAAAGAACAAAGATCTTAAAACACCATTTGTCTCTTTACCCGTATCAGTTTCTCTCATTTAATTATATAAATATAATAAAATGCTTATCTCTCTGTCTGTTTGAAAAATACAAATAACACGCGTATAATGCACGATTAATCCGAGTGAATCGAGGAAAGGATCTAAAAAAAAACGCGAGCATTAAACCGAACCGCTTCGGAGATCGTCATAAAGACAGGACTTTCGCTGCTCGTCGCATCCTGTGCGTCTTCCTGCTCAGTCGTTTTTGCATCACGGTAGCAAAATGACAAGGAGAGCGAACTGGTTTTATCATCGAATTTGTCACATCTAACTTTCCACTCGGGCCGATGAGCGCGAAATCGAAAGAACCGCGCGAAAAGCATCGTCTAAAAATAGCGCGATATATTCTTGATCCTTTTGCGCGATATTTTCCATCGCGAATGGTCGAGCGATCGCGTTCTCCGGCAAAGTCACGAATTTCTAATCTGCTCGTCGGGAATCGCGAGTAACGAGAAGAGAGTTCGTTCGGCGTAAAGAGAGACGTATACTCGATCGCGCCACACACGTGCATACACCTTCACACACGCCACGGCACGCACGCATCGGGCACGCACGATGTACTCGCTCCACGAATCTTATTCCCGATGGAAACTTTCGTCGGTCTTATGGTAATTTATTCGTATTTATCACAGCACGAAAATAAATCATACGCCATTGCCATGAAATTGCGAGAAAAGTTTTCGTCGACGAAAGATCCTGAAGATAAATTGAACAAGTGAAATAATTAGCTAATTTAAGCGCTCGCATAATTAATCAGTAAATACGCGACGAGAGGAGTAAAGATTTTGAACCGCTAATAATTTCAATCTCTCCATCATGATCTCTCAATCTATGTGAGAAAATACACGATTGAATTGATGAATATAAAGGCCTCAACGATTTATTTAAGGCATGAATTTCGGAAGCGAGATTTTACTTTCGATCGAATCGCGATAACGACACATCGCTACGTTCTCTTATCGTGAACTTATCTAAATCAAGAAATCATCTCACGCGTCTTACGCAAATTGCCACAATCGGCCACTTCATCGATTAGGCGGAATAAGTTTTCCGTAACCTCGACGATACCTCAATCCACCGTTCTCTCTTTCCTTGCCTCTCTTTTACTCGTGTAATTCATCGTCTCACTTCGTCTAATACGTTCTAACGCGTCCACCACGTTCACTTTCAATCGGTGGATTCCACGAGGCGATTGTATACACGTTCGAAAGTGAATTTAATTTGCGAGAGAAGTGCGTTAGACGCGACACGCCTTACCAGCTCTTCCTAACGAGACCCATCCCTTTTTCTCAGTTTCTTCGACCAAGTCTTGCGGTTAAAACATCACAATATATTTTCACCACATCTCTCGAATCGCTCAATTTCAATGATTAAAATTAAAATCGTTAAAAAATCTCGCGTTGCCAAAATTGATGATATTTTAATCGATCTTCCAACTTCGTTCAACTTGCGTAGATTTTTTCCATTCCCGTAAGGATCTTTATATATCCATATGCATTTATATGTTTCCATAATCACTTCGGATTCACGAGGGGCAGGACCGCGCGAGAACGTCGCCGTTATGTAATTAAAAAAGTTTCATAATCACGCGGTCGGCCCGTTTTCTTAGCGCGCCGATGGATCGACGAACGGAAGGTGCAGCAACAGCAGCAACACGTGGCTACCCCGATGTACCGTTTGCGGGATCTTTTTCACAAACAATATTGCACAGCGCCATGGCGTTACGACATAATCCATGTCCGCCGTCGCGAGCAAGCGCGAGCGACGGTCGGCTTTCTCTCGATACGCCGGCGGAAAAATAAACGAACGACTTCGCCATAATCGAACGCCCGGATAGTTTCGCGATCCGCGTGATTTGCGACGACGAACGGCGATTGAACAAAATTCCATTTCGATCCATCGTTAGCGCCGAACGAAGTCACGCTAAAAGGGTACGACGATTAACGGAGAGATTATACACACAGAAAAATACAATTTAAGTAAACATTACTTGTTTCAAGTATTTCAAAAGTTCATATATCCGCAAATCTATCAAAAAGAAAATATTTACTTTTTTTGAGTACATGATAATGAGTTTTTCTAAAATTTGTGACAAGTCTATTTTAAGACTATCATTGAGAAAATATTCTTTGTTAAAGATAAGTGTTATTTAAAAGAAGAAAAGTAAACTGAGTAATCATTTTTCTTAGCAATAGAATAATATTTTTCTATATGTATATACTTGCATCCAAATGATAAAAAAATGTGTGCCGGGGAAAAAAATATAATATATAACGATAAAATATCTTCCATTCATCGCAGTATCTTTCAAATAATTGCACGGGAGATACGGTTAAAAGGAGATAAAGAAAATTCTGATCGCTAATGATAACGTCGGATGGCTTAACAGCTTCTATTTGTTATCTTATACTCCAACACACACATCTCACTGTAGATCTCTTGGAAAATATAATCGCATTCACGAAGAAGAGAGGATGAATAAATGATTGAGAGAATAACCCGGGCAAAGATGTATGAGTTCGGAGAATGTATATATGCATATCTCTGAGTAGCATGCGAATAAAAATATCCATCAAGAAGTTACTGCTATTCACTATCAAGTAAAAGAATTGTTGTAAAAAGTTACCATAGCTACATTCGAATACCTCGTGGGATACACGCGCGCTGAAGTTTGCGCGGGAAGGCACTTCTAGAACACATCTCTTCTAGAACACATCTCTGGAGGCGATGTGCGCCGAATCGAGGCTAGACGATGAGCATCGCGCGATTAGCGAACGGTAATTTTAACGTTTTCTTCCTGCTGCCTTTGTGTCGAGTCGATTTTCAACTGCATCTCGGCCTGAATACGTAATCCATATTATATTAAATTGCACCCTTTCAGGGAATATAATATCACGTATCATTGCGAGAGCTGCCAGCCTCCGGGCGAGGGAAGAGGATGGAATTATGACTTCTTATCATAGCGCGCGCGACAGGTCGCTCTACGCAGATTGCTTATCTGGTGTATGGTACTTGCTACACGCGCGTGCGAGAAGAGGAACCGGAATGAGATTATCGTCCAACAAGAAAAACAAATGTCTTTATCCCTGATCCACGCACTTTGCAAGAAAGAAACGCTTTTATCTTCGGGTAAAGATCTTATTTAGCGATGCGTGCAATGTAATTATATAGAATTGCAACACTGCAACATAAAATGGAACACCCAAAAGTTTTGAAAAATTTAGATAAAAGTTTGAATAAAATATTTTTATTGCAGTGTTCTTAATGATAATATACATAGTATTTTCGAGTAATTTATTAAAAAGTGAAAAATATATTAAAAAGTATTAGCCGAATTAAGCTCCAGAAAAAAATATATGTCACTAAATCGTATTCTTCAATCGATTTAAAAAATTCTCTTTGATACATCTTTTTCTTGACATTTAAATTATTCTATATAACATGTTGCACTCATTCTCAGATTATAAGGCATGGTTTCTGTTTGAAATATTTCTGAATTCAGATATGGAAATATCCGAAGAGATATATTATCTCGATAAAATCTCAATTTAAAAGAATTTCTGTGAATCGTGGGATCAGCTTTATCCAAAACACTTGTAACACTTTGATATCGGCAATCTACGCGGATAATATACTATAGACTCCTATACTATAAACTCTATTTGGTTTGACCTCTGCATCGGTGATGGTAATTCACATCTGTCCCTGTTCGCGGCGTTTATGCAGGCTAAACAATTTGCCGGATCCACCTGGGCCTGTCGACTCTAGGAGGGGGGTCAAAAAGACGAATCAAGCTAGAGCTCCGCGCCCCTAAGTAGGTCTTTAGCCGTTCAAAGACCGTTATCTGGCTCGCGACCTTCGGCAAACAATTCGTCTGCGGTCGTTTGTCCTCGTGCAACAACGGCATCGCCGTTGCCCGGATCTCGCGACACACTGCGCTCATCCAGCTTCCCATACTATCAGAAGACGATATCGGTTACGTCGATTCGGAGGAGCGTGACCGCACAAATCAGCTTACACAATTTCCGGAAAGTTTACATAGTTCAATTGATGATTATCAGGCTTGAACTTCATTTTTATTCTACTGATATCACACACAGAAAAATACATACTATATTTAAGTAAATATTACTTGTTTCAAGTATTTCAAAAGTTCATATATCCGCAAATCTATCATAAGTTCATCATAAGCATCAAATTTATTCAAAATGTATTCTGAATCCTAGTAAGTTTAATACTTCAATCAAGAATATTAAATTATCTAATTGAAAGAAATACACTAAATTTTTCTGATCTAATAAATTTTCTTACATTAAATTAGCCACATCTGACTTTTCTTCGATAAAATTTTATAATGTTCTTCAAAAGAAAATAATTACTTTTTTTGAGTACATGATAATGAGTTTTTCTAAAATTTGTGACAAGTCTATTTTAAGAC